TTTTTTTTTTTTTTTTGTCGTTTGTTTGTTTTTCTTGGAATGTATTGACAATATTTAGTTTTGGAATGAAATATTAATGTTTAATGATTGTTATATTCTTTATGAATACTTCAATATGACTTATTGTTGTAACAAGTCAAAATACGCCGGAAAAGGTGAATAAGTGCTTGTCAGATCAAAGTTTCCGACATAACATTAGTGCAATAATTTATAGGAACTACTGACGTCGGTGCAATCTTACAGTATTTCCGACATCTATAACTTTATCAGAACAAGTTACGACAAACTTGTTTTTATTGGAAACATTTATCGTGGAAGTCCTTGAATGTCTCAAAGAACTTAAGAATTTTATTGTCAGCTCATCAAATCGACGTCGGGATTTGATATTAAAGAGCATAAGCCTTCCCAACCCATCTTCAGGGCTTGGGAGCATCCGGCTTTGTTGCGTTTGGCTAGGTCATACCATCTTCAGGGTACGAAACACGTTTAGCCTTAGCAACGAGGACCGATTTATTGTGGTCCGAGTGATCGAACAAATTATAGAGGTTCGTCACACAAATTTTATTGATAGCAAAATATGGTTCTTGTACAGGAGTAGGACAAAAACTTTTCACATGTCAAGAGAAGAATTTTGATCTTCAAACTCACTGATAATACTTCTTCAAATGAGTCGCATGCCAGGGATATGGAAGATGAACACCGTCTAAAGTTTCAAGTCGGTAGGTGCCATTAGAAATCGGATGATTTACTTTAAAGGGTCCTTCCCACTTCGATTGTAACGGGCCGACATTGGCCCCAGTGATCCTTTTCAGCACTAGGTCTCCTTTGACAAATGAGCGTGGCTTGAGTCTTGAGTTGATGTACTTTTCACTACGTCATTTATAAGCGGCATTTCGTATTTCAGCGTCAGCCCGTAGCTCATCGACCAAATCGAGATTGGCTCTCAAGTCTGCCGAGTTGGTTCCTTCAGAGAAGTGAGTGACCCGGTATGTTGGAGAAGCCAGTTCAACCGGTATTACTGCTTCAGTTCCGTATGCCAATGAAAACGGAGTTTCTCCAGTCGAATTCCTCGTCGTCGTCCGGTAAGACCAGAGGACATAAGGCAACTCGTCAGGCCATGACCCCTTTGCTGCTTCAAGCCGAGTTTTTAGACCATTCTTGATAATCTTATTACGGCTTCTATCTGCCCATTTTCTTGTGGGTGATAAGGTGACGAGAAAAAGTGTTTGATGTCGTAATCTTCACAAAAGCTTTCAAATCGCTTTCCTTCAAACTGGCGGCCGTTGTCGGTTATGATGGAGTTTGGTACTCCAAACCGACAAACGATTGACTTCCATACAAAATCAACCATTTTCTGTTCCGTGATGGTTACAAGAGGCTTGGCTTCAACCCACTTAGTGAAATAATCGGCGGCTAAAATAGCAAACCGAACTCCCCCTTTTGCTGTTGGGAGTGGGCCGATCAAATCAATCCCCCATTTTGCGAACGACCATGGGCTATAAATTGACTTGAGGAGTTCAGGATGTTGATTAATGTTAGGGGCAAATATCTGGCATTTGTGGCATCGTCGCACCCAGTCCGCAGCGTCTTTCTTAATGGTAGGCCAGTAATAGCCTTGACGGAGAATCTTGTGAGACAAAGCCTGAGCTCCCTGGTGAGTACCGCAGACTCCTTCGTGTACTTCTTGAAGAACTCGTTGAGCGTCAATCTCTGGCAGACATTTAAGTAATGGAGTAGAGTATCCACGCTTGTATAACGTCCCCTGATCAATGGTGAAATGAGCAGCACAAACACGAAGAGCGCGAGCTTCTTTCGGGTCTTCAGGTAAGGCCCCGTTTTGAAGATAGTCGACGATCGGGTCCATCCATGTTAGATTTGAAGCTGGTGGGGCAACGTCAACCATGACGACGTCGGTAGGGACTGTCGATGAGGTCGCTTGTTGAGTAATTTGCACGAACTCGACATTATTCAAGTCGGTCGATGAGGCCAAGCGTGAAAGAGCATCTGCCTGGATACTGGATGACCGAGGTATATGTTCCAACGCCATTTTAAACTGCGCCAACTTTTTCTTTACGAGATCAAAATAAGGCAACAACCGTGGTTCTTTAACTTCATAAGTACCATTGATTTGGCTGACTAATAACTGAGAATCAGAAAGTATTCAAAGAGACGAGACATTCATTGATTCAGCAAAGCGTAGGCCTGACAAGAGGGCCTCGTACTCGGCTTCGCTGTTGGTGGCCGGGAAGGTGAATGCCACAGAGTAGCAAAACACTTGTTGATCTGGACTAACTAAGACAATCCCTCCTCCAGCTCGTATAGCGGTGGACGATCCATCGACATAAAGAGTCCACGTTGGATCTTCAATAGATGTACTGACACCTGGAGTAAATTTAACAATGAAATCAGATAATACTTGAGCTTTGATAGCGGTCCGTGGTCGGTACTGAATATCAAACTGTCCCAATTCTATCGCCCATTTAATCATTCTTCCCGACGTGTCAGGTCGGTGAAGGACTTGTCGGAGAGGGTATGTTGTAAATACAACAATTGAGTGTTCTAGAAAATATGGACGCAGCTTCCGCGCAGCGATGATCAAAGCAAAGGCTCACTTTTCCATATGCGGATATCGCAATTCAGCGTCATGTAAAGCCTTACTAACATAATATACTGGAAACTGTTGAAGCCCGTCTTGTCGTATAAGAACAGCGCTAACAGCAACGTTATTTACACCAATGTACAAATACAGAGGCTCATCAGGAAGTGGCTTCTGCAATGTCGGTAACCGTGAGAGAACTTCTTTGATGTTGTCAAAAGCATTCTGGCATTCCATGGTCCACTCAAACGGTTTCCTCTTTTTGATAGCGTCAAAAAATGGCTTGCAATGATCTGTAGACTTTGAAATGAATCGATTGAGAGCCGCCAGTCGACCAGTTAAAGCTTGGACGCCCTTGATAGATGTCGGGGGAGCTAGGTCAAGTATAGCTTGAATCTTAACGGGATTGGCCTCGATCCCTCTCTGACTCACCATGTAACCTAAAAACTTCCCTGAACCGACTCTGAAAGTACACTTCTTGGGATTAAGCACCATAGAATATTCTCGGAGTATATCAAAGACCTCGGAAAGATGAGTGATGTGATCAGAAGCCTGTTCCGACTTCACTAACATGTCGTCTACATAAACTTCCATCGTGCGGCCGATCAGGCGAGCAAACATTTTATTGACCAACCTCTGATACGTGGCCCCTGCATTCTTCAATCCGAAAGTCATCATGACATAGCAATAGAGGCCTCGAGCTGAGTAGA